ATACGGTTACTCTGTCGTATACAGCTAGCGTGTACCATAGCCTTTTAAAATATTGTCTCAATGTTCGAAGCTCGTCTTAATTCGTGAACCCATAACCATTTCAGGATTAAGAAAATCACTTGTGAAAACTGTTCGCTAAATCTTTACAGTTGTAGCTCAAAATCTAGAAAACCGTGAAGACATGTCTATTAAGGCTCTCCCACATTAAAAAAAAAAGAACTTACAGAACTTACAGTACTTTCACATTTAGTAACTGCATATGTATTACTTTCACCGGTCTTTTTTAATTATACGAAACTTCCTCTCGAAAATTTTGCAATTCAGTGATAAGATAATGCGCTACTCGGAAAACAAAAAAATAAAACTCACGTAAACGCGCGCTTCTAGATGCTAGCTCTGTATTAGAACTGCGCCTGTCTCGCTCGCGACCTACACGGCACTCCATCCCATTTCCATAACGGAGCATTCGCGTCGATCTCGACAAGGAAGGATTACGAGACTCGGAGTGTATTTCTGCTGGTAGAAGCATGGCTGGCATTTCAATAGTAAAAGTATCGAAGCCGAGGCACACTCCCGCGCCACGACCCCACAAGTGCGCGCCGCGGCCAAATGTCGCCTGGAGTAACACAAAAACAACGAGCCCTTGGAGACGCTTCCATCTTTTAGACCTCCTTGAGCCACCGCCTAAAAGCCCAAAAAAGCTCCGTTTTTATTTCTCTGTCCTCGATGTACGCGGCGACTGGACCGAGATATTCAACCCTGGCTTCGGGGCTCACCAGCTTAACTTTACCCTGAAAATCCCTGCGCGGTATATGAAAGTTTAATGATGCGGTTGTGTCATTCTTAGCATGTCCTCGCGCTGACTAAAAGTATACTTCGCCCCCCCCCCCAAAAAAAAAAAAAAAAGAAGAAAAGTTACGGTGATACGTAACTTAACGAAATACTATAGTATTTCGTTAAGTGCCACTGCGAGCTTTGTTTTTGCATGTTTAAAAGGAGCACACAGTTTCGTCGACGTTTTATGGCGCCGGTATAACCCGGAAAGGCAGGCTTGGAATCTAAGCAACAGCTTAAAAGTTGCAAGGTGGTTCAGTTTTTATTTCATGTATATCGGATAAAAAAGCACTATGAAGCGGTAAGCGCATTTTTCAGCCAAATATGATTACGCCATTTCGACCGTCTTTAACTCATGCTTAACGACGTGCCAAAATATTAGCACTTAATTGTTTGTACCTAAACGTTTGACGATAAATTAGTTTCATATTTTATTTTATTTTAATATTATCTTTTCGCGCAGCGACATCGCTGTATATTAGTTGCATTGTACTTCATAAAAGAACCGACATGGTGGTCTACGGTATGACCAAGGCGCGATTATGTCTTGTCCATAAATGTTATAACAAAGCACCCCGCACCTTTCACGCTGTTCAAGCAAAGGCGTATAAGTCATCTTCACGCTTCAACCATGGCCGTAATCTGAAAGGTCTAAGAGAAAAAAAACTCTCGAATTCTCCAGTTCATTTTTTTTTTCTAGTACGATTGTTCCATTGAATAGCCTTCCTGAATCCATCATCTCCCTAAATCAACACATTCTTGTCCGCCAAAAGGCGACTAACAACATGTTCTTACATTTCTTTTAACGTCCTGTTTTACCAAGCGTGTGTTTCTGTATCTATGTCCTGTTTCTTTTTGTATTACACATTTATGTAAAGGCTCGTCCACACTCTTGCAACCAAGTGCGACCGAGAGAGACCAGGCCGGTTTTTAAGCCTTTTGCGACTTCTTAGGTCCGGATGCACTGCAGCGGAGCTGGTCCCAAGAAGTCGCAAAAGGCTTAAAAACTGGTCTGGTCTCTCTCGATCGTACTCGGTTGCATATATGCGAACGGCGCTTAATGCCTTCGAGCCAAGGTGTAAAACAAATAAATGAATTATTAAGTAAGTAAATAAATTAATAACATAAAACATCGGTAACACCGTTGACAGTGCTCTTGTTTTTTAAACGGCAAACTTTAGCTTCGGAATAGATACATTCACTGATGTCACCAGATTATGTATTGTATTAACACACAAGCATTTAGGAAATTCACAGTTCTTTACAAAATAGGCCAGATGTCCCGGCTGGGCTTAATCCCTGCTGCTTTGTTTGTATCCAAGATCACTATCGCCAATTAACATCGGATCCCTGTGTTCTCGACTTTCTTCTTATTTATTTCTTTCCTTAGATCATTACTTTTTGTTTTTATTGCCGATAGTCCGTTTCTTTTTTCTAACTCTGCAGAAGCGGAAAAACATATCAGCCTGTGGTGACGCTCTATCGCCACAATTTCGGCACAGCCTTCGCCTCGTCTTCGCGTACTCCGGCGAAGCACGGCCGCGCGCTACACTGCGTGGCCGATAAGGAACACAACCACCGCAGTGTCATCGTCTACTGCCGCTGACGTATGTTCCTTCTCCGGTGCTAGGAAAATAAAAAAGCAGATCTACTCTATGAGCAGACTGCGTAGCTTGAAGAAGACGACTTGCTACCCAGGCACGCGATGCACCGCAACCACGCGACCGGAACGATCGCCGACTGCCGCTGCCTTGGCAATAAACGCCGTTCTTTTTCTATGTTGGGATTTGTTTCTCAACACGACGCGGTATTTCACAAGCCTTTGAAATGAACGTAACAAAATGTATGTCAGCAGATATGAAAGAACCATGTAGCAAAACCTCAATATACGTTTCTTCAGAAAACACTGTCAGAGGCCGGATTATACTACTTTACTTTTGTTCGGCGTTCATTCATTAAATATCGAAGTCTTCGTAATAAAAATATTAGTTACTACATCAACTATCTTTTATAATAGATTTACATTCAATTATTAAGCGCCGCATCGGAAATCTACTGGGACAGGTAATAATGTGGCGCCCTCGCTCCATGATTCAAGCCGAATGCGCAACTTGGGTCGGCTAACGCAACATACAGAAACTCTCAGCAGAGAATTCCTTTAATATATATATATATATATTAATTGAGTTCGTTTTTTTAGTAATTACGACGCCCGTTCTAGCCCATTGGAGCCTGTATTGCGGTCTACCGTACATCTCGGTTGTCTGGCTTGATCTTTGTCTCTCGTATATTTGCACATGCCTTGCCTGTTTTTCTAGTGGTTCTTGACCAGTCAAACAAAAAATTTCGGTTTCTTTTCAGCTATTTTCCCCTTCCTGATGTTTTCTATTTTATTGAACTTGCTCTCTTTATGCTGTTAAATGTTCTGCTCGTATTTCTCAAGTTACTGTATTATGCTCCTATTTTTAGAAAGTAATGAGTAATTAAAATAATCCGTTACCAATATTTTGTAGCTAAATTACATTACAAAATAATTCCGGAAAAAAGTAACTTGGCAATTACCAAATTACTTGAAAAAGTAACAGTTTACACGTAATCCGTTACTCCTAACGGATTACTTCCCAAGTCTGCATAGAACCATGTCAAATTAAAGATCATAGCCTTTTGAACAAAAAGTTTAGACCCAGAAATAAATTTAAAGGTAACCTCACGCGCGGCACCTGCCTTGGCTACTGCACATCGCTCGTTCTCATAACCCCTGTAACGTAAATTTCGTGCCTTGAAGATACCAAGCAGTGAACAGATCCCTACAGCTGGCGTAAGAACGCATGGCTACCCAGATGTTTTTCTCCCCTACAAACTGGTTAGCCTCAAAGTAACAGAACCATGACCGACAACAACAAGATGATTCCGGGAGCCCCAGCATCGTGCCTGCGGATGTGGGCAGCCGGGAACTCTCTCTGCCCAATCTGCGGCGCAGGCTCTGCGGCGTTGGCGAAGACGTCGTGCCGCGAGTGCGTCTATTTCCGGATCTACGGGGAAGACCGGGCGCTACCGTCGCTCGACCCCCGGTGCGAATACCGGTGGGTGGCGTGTCATGAACACACCACCCTCTTCGTCCCCCCCCCCCCCCCACCCCCCCCCCCCTCCCCCATGAAGTGTAAGCGCCTCGAGTGTCCAGGTGCCGTAACACAATCATAGTTCCATAGATGCTTGGGAGAAAAGGAGGGTTTTGTCATCGGGAATGCTACCGTCGCATCGCGTAGAGTTTTATTTATGTCTCTTCTGTTCAAGCGTCTCGGAAAAAGTATTCGTCTTGCCGTAATAGCAAGAGGAATGCATTGGAGCAATCCGCGAAGGGAATCCCTCGGCACTTTATCATCCGTTTCCCCTAAAGGTTTTGCGATATCAGAAAAAAAAAGTTTGAGATGGAAGAAAGAAAAGACTGCAGATAGTGCACGTCAATGTCCATAGAACTAAAAAAAAAAATGACAGAGTACGCCTCGATTGAAACATTGGGTCGGTGAGCTTTGGCACTTCGTTGGAAGACTTTGTATAATTATATTTTCCTTAATCACGTTAAAACTTTCATTTTTGGTGATTTGTGGAACATTGAAAAAATTCAGTAATTATGGTTTTAAGCTCAAAATGCGTGGCCAGTTTCACCGAAAGAAAGTTTTATTTTATTTGCATATTATTTCCTCATGATACTTCTCGTATCATCAATGATGCTGCGGGCATTACTTCGAAAACCATAATGACATCTTCACATATGGTAGGCCAAAAGGCAATTACAATATTTTGTGTGGCATAAGTTTACATTACACTTGCCGCAGTAGGTGTAAGAAAAGCTGTTCTGCGCTGGCGGACAAGACTTGCATCGCAGCCTGCTGCTGCCCCAGGTGGCTACGTGACCGGCTCAGCCAGCCGCACATCATCCTGGGGAGCACCTCCACCTGCATTGCGTTTTTCCCAGGCGGGGTCATTGAAGATGTTGGCCTCCCGACTGATTTCCATTTTCATACTGCGATAAGGCACTCCGCGATGCTTGCCTGAAATCGCCAGAAGTTCACAGGCTTCTCATTCAAGTGGGAGCAGTGCCGCCGGTACAGAAGCAAAGCATTGACTGTAGCGTTCATCAGACTGTGATACAATAGGTACAGATACTATCTCCGAGACTTAATGGGGAACTTGTAAACTTTCATATAGTAGTTCAGGACATCCACACCACCCATGAAGTGGCTGTATGTCGCTACAATTCCTGGTTGTGGTACTGGAATAAACGTTTTTTCCTTCTCCCATCTTCGCACAGCTCCGACTGGTTCAGAAGACACATAGTTGGAGACGAATGTCAAGGCTCTATTATCGTACCAACTTACAACTGCTATAATTGATAGATTGTCGACCGGATAATCGAACGCACCACGTCCCTCCTTCTTCAGGTCATTTTCTGACTTTAGTCGGCAGTCCTTTAGCCGATTTATTCTGATTGTTCTTACAAACCCCAGACCTCTCTTCGACAACTTAATCGCAAGATCTAAGCTGGTGAAGAAATTGGCGCATGCTATTTCGTAACCATTCTGCTGTGGAAGAAACTCGCACATCCTAAGAGTGACGTCACGAGCCAACCCTAACAGGTAGTGTTGTTTCGTTTGGCCGTGGAAGACATCGAACTGATAAAGAAAACCAGAGAAGCCAGCTCGACCCCACAGTTTTATGCCCCGGGGGTTGGGCTTCGCGGGCATGTATTGCTTCATGGGGCACCTCCCAGTGAAGGAAATTATCATTTCGCCCACACTGTTCAGCTCTTCTTGCTCGACCGACTGGAGGTTTTCTTGTCGTAAATTTAACCACGTTCGGATTTTCCAAGCTTTGTAACGTTTTGTGTCTTCTGTGGCCTGACGGTTGTCAGTGAAGTGTATCGGCCTTCTCAATTTCTCAAACCTGTTCAGTGGCATCACATCAGCGACCACGGGAAACATCGTCCCTCTTCCCCAGTAACATCGCCAGCAGGGCATTTGCACAGGTCCCATCCGGTATATCCCAATGTGTTGCTCCAGTTCAGCCTCTGCGACGTTCATTGACTGTCCAGTGGACTGGGTACTGTACAGGTTAGTCACTTGGGCAAGGGATGCGATCATTTCCAAACTTATAAACTTCCGGAAGTAGGTCAAAGCGGGTGCTACCGTCACTGGCATAATAAAAACTTTGCTGAACGTTCGAATGGCATAGTCCAGCAGGTTCATTTTCTAATGGCCTCTGTCAATGGAGCCTGTACCGCAGTGTGAGCCGCTGCTACCGTCCATTTCATCCTCGGAATAATCATCTTCAGAAGGCTCGGCAGGATCAGGAGGGACACTATTTGGCTCTTAGACGTATTCAGTGTGCCCTAAATCTCCAAGGTCACTCTCGTCGCCCGATGCCATGCAGCTCAGAATGTCTCGGGATGACTGGGCTGCAAAAATAATTCACAGTATATGTAGTGGCGCCAAATTATGATTCGTAGCATATATGATCCGAACGTCGGTGACGATATCAAATGCCCAGAGTAGTACTCATGGTAGGCAACAAATATTTTCTGCTCACTACCTGGATATAAACGCAGATAAAAGTGGTATAGAGGCTTCAGAAACTGACCTAGTTTACAAAGCACACAAAAAAACCATGTTCCTACCTTTGTTTTGTGAACAACAGCCGTAGAAAGTACGCGTTCTAATCACCATCCCGCTGCCGCTGGGCTCCGCCATTTTCAAATACGCCGTAAAGCCCCCTCGTGGGCAATACTCGAACTAAAAATAACCGAAATCTAGGGAAATATGTATTATAAACTATTGGGGAGGAGGACAGACCGTGACGCCCCAAGCGGTTAACTTTACAACTACACGGATGGGGACAACAAATACAATGACTCAGCGCTCGGCCGACAAAACCGAGCGCGGCGCCAGCGTTCGGCTGGAGTTCGTGTTCTCCGGTGAGGGGGAGGAGGGGCTCTTTTGTTTCCACTACGGCCTGCATGAACAATGCAGCATGCACGGTCCCAGCTTAGCCCAAAAGCCGAAGTGGGTCAAGCTCACATTCTATGAGGATGGATCCGGCACTTAACGTCGCTTCGTCGCTTGTTAGTATTTTTTACATTAATGACATGGACATGCCTATAAGGCCTGTCGGCATGTGCACAGGTCTTGTATTGAGTAAACACCAAGCGTGGGGAAACAAACGGGTCAGAGCGCCCCCTATAGTTCGATCTCCTGCCCAATACTACAGTGGCTGAAGGGGTAGTGCAACGAACGAAACTGGGGAAGCGGCACAGTGTTGGAAGACGGCCGAGGGTGGCGCTGGCGCTTCAGCACCGTCGTTCCGACTATGGCTCGGGCTTGGCCGCTTGGCCAGCTTGGCTCCGGCCCTTCTAATTTCTTTGCTCCGGCCAGCTGCGGTCGATTCGCAGCTGTCGACTCCACTGTCATCTGCTAGTGTCACATTTTTATTCACCTATGAACACAAACCCTGTCCTTGGAAGTTCACTGGAAACAAATAATTGTTTTTGAGGTATTTATATTAGTTATGAAGGGTGCCTCTATTTGCCGACCGATGGAGACAGCCTAACGGAGCTGCGGATCAAACCGCCACCTACACCGTCTTTCAAGGAGCGGCCGTTCCCGATGCATGGTGGAGGCTACGCGGTTACTACACTTCCCCCTTTAAGCCACTGTAGCGATACACTGGGTGTTGGTTGGTTAGAAATGCAAACCAAAACTTATTTTAGTTTGAGAATTTGTCGTAGCGCGCCTAATAAGGTAGGCATTGAAGGGGAATTATAAAGTAACAGATTTAATTTTTCTTTTTGGGTCGTTTTTGTGCTAATATGGTGCCTGGAACGCGTCACCAACTGGTGTGCTTAGCGTCGTAGTCTACCCATGTGTCGAAAGTGGTCCAAAAGCGGCAACAAATGACGTCAGAACAACCGGAGAGTCGTGCTGTTGGATGTCCATATCCTGGGCGGTTGGTCGTAGAACTGCTGGTGAAAAGCACAAGCGACCGAGAGTGTCGCTCCCGTCACAGCGTCCCAACTGCTGGCTGCCAAAACTTCCTTAAACTGACACGCCGAAGAGCGACCTACAGGAGAGCAGGCGTCTACCAAATAAACCACCGCTGCTGGGACACCGCCAGGATCGCGGCCGGCGACAGCGTGACACTTTTATGACGTCATCGGGCAGAAATCTAGGGACCACTTTTTTTGGGCACGGTAAACACGCCAGTCGGAGACACCTTCCTGGAACCATAGTGGTGTTAAGAGTTAAAAATATTGCTTCCGCTGTGAGACAGCAGCATCTTTAGGAATGTGGTTTAAAAATATTAGCTGGCATCGTGACGATCTTTAGCGTAGAAACGCAGAAAGAACAATTGGAAGTTGACACACCGTTCGGCTCCTCATGGTAGTTACCTCATTCGAGGTTTTTGCGTCAGACTGTACTCCCTGCCTTTTTCAAGAAGCTGCAAAATATACGTAACTGAGTTATTCTAGTTTAAATTCAGAGCCTTCCAAAGTTTTCTGGAACTCTGATCGAGATCATGCGAATGTTTTCGGTGCACCGCGCATAGTTAATTGTCTCCCAAGGCAACGCCGCGTTGCCTTGGGAGTCGTGGGCTCGCCAGCAGCGCGGCAATTTGTGCGATTTATCTCGTGCTAGGAAAAGGCCTAATCCACCAATCTCAGGAGATTTCCCTCGCGTATACGACTCGCAAATCGGTTAATTTTGGTGTTCTGTCCATATTTGGTGTTCTGTCCATAGGAAAGGAGGCACGAAGTCGGTATATAAGATTTTAATGACGATTCCGACTAACCTCCGCCCTCGCACACGTCGGGAGGGACGCTGTGGAAAACAAATATCGGCGTCGGTAATGGCGGCGGTGCTGTAGCGGTGACTGTGAGTCTTTTGTTTACTGTAGCCCTGTTAAAATTTGCCGAATTCACAAGATCGAGCAGCTTTGTGCCCCGTACTACTCCTCCGTCGTCTGCTCAAGGGATTTCGAAGATTCTAAGGTAAAGAAGACGAAGAGCATCAAAAAGAAGGCGCTTGCCTAGCCTTACAATTGAAACGCCGGCTGCGCCGGTCACTACGAGACCGCCGTCGGATTGTGCCGGTGAGTTGCCTTTTATCTTGTGTTTCCTTTCCGAACCCAACAAATTTCGCCTTCTAGCAGGTCTTTAGAAATCTTGCATCGCGGAGTCGATAGGCTCCCAAGCAGCACGGATTTTGCCCAAGCAATGGCCAATGGCTGGGATAGTCTTGTGGCCACTGGCCAAAGAGTGACCATTCATTGGCCAATGCTTGGCTGATGGCCAGTGGCCATTGGCCAATGGCCAGAGAAAGGCCAGTCATCGGCCAATCTCTGGCCACTGTCTGGCCACTGGCCAAAGGACCATTGCCAGCCATTGGCCATTGCATTGGCCAACTCTGTGCTGCTTAGGAGCTATTACTTGAAAAACAGCTGAGAAGGTAGGGTATGGGCGATCCTCCAAACCCCATCTTGGCAGGATATATTTAAGAATACATACTCACTATTTCGACTCGAAACTGCATGGAGGCCGTATAAACTATGCTCAGTTTCATTCTAAATGCGATCAAAGTTTAATCTACATGGGCGAGTCACGAGTTTTGATCATAGCTGCCATGAATGTGCGATAATGCAGTCCAAGCGCTGGTCACATGCTCGTGCTTGTAATTTTCGCTTCGTTCGCACTTAGGTGAGACGCAGTATAGTCATACTTCGTATTTGGTTTTTTAGTTGTAGTCTACAGTTGTAATTATGGCACTAGAAAAGCACAGTGCTCAAATCTTACCTCAAAAAAGCGATCTTTTTTTTTCAGAAACGAAATTTGATTAGTTCTTACGTGTAACACAATGAACCACCTCGGACAGTTCAAGTATGTCGTTTCACATTAAGCAGTACGAGTGAACGGCCAAAAAAGTACCGATGCCGTCTTTCTGCAAAATGTGTCGCGCAGTGTATCTCCGAAACACACATATATAGCTAAACATTCGAAGATTGCGCACTATCCATGCCTAGCTAATGAACTCCCCATGGAATTGACACGGGAGTAAACAATGACTAACATATAAGTAATTTTGTTTTGTTTGCTGAGAAAACTAGTGCAAGCAAAGCCAGTGTGCAAGTGGCAAACTCTCTGACATCATTCGTCATTTCTGGGTCCCAGACGGGCTGTCGACATTCAGAAACACACTCCAACAGATGGTGGCCAAACAGCTATTGTGAAGAATGTCAAGACTGTCCCATTTTGATCCACATTTCTAGTCTACATATTGGTGATCATTTCCTTGCTTCATCAATGCATAAGTATGCCAACCACTGAGTGACAACACGCATGTGTTAGTGACGGTGTCGCGCGAGGCTTCAGTGTTGTCGCTACAGAGAGGGCTCACCCTCATACCAAAGCTCTTCGTGTTGTCAATGGAACTATTCGGTTGATTCCAATTTCCTAGAAACGCCAATATTTATCTTAGTGTGCTTTGTGTCTGAAGTATATTTGTGAAGGATGTCTCGTTTCTTTCCGGGAGAGGGGGGGGGGGGGGGGGAGGATGGGGGGTAGTACCATGTCAGCTGCTCTGCATGAGCCACTTGGAAACTGTTTGGACTGCTCTGAAATACTTGTAATTCACCTCAACTTCTTTAGTCTGTCATGTCCATGATAATGCTGAAATGTAATAAGTCGACTGAACCATGTTTTACAAAAGAACAAACACATTCAGTAGAAAAGTTGGATGGCTTTATTAGTTTTCTTGAAGTACTCTCATAATATATGATGCTGGCAAAGCTACTTTCACCAGCAGGCAACTTACTCTCTACTCCGTTTCACCATAGCTTGTGGAACTGTGGAGGCTACGGCTCCTGCGATCCAGTAAGAACGTCCGAGCGAGGCACCTGGCTGCACGTCACAAGAGCTTTCGTGTCACCACGCCCGATGCAAGGACCACCTGCTAGAACCGGCTGTCGTCTGCTGGGAAACCAAACAACTTCGGATGAACGTCCACTGCAGCAACATCGCCATCCGCCAGAGTAGCGAGCTGTTCAGCAATACTTTTATGGCACAACCATTTACTCAATTTGCCCACGAATCTGTGGCGGGTGCTGCTAGAGCAATATTTTGAGCGGAAGCGGTTGATTCAGAGCAGCGTTCATTCGAACATCTTCCAAAAGCCATATTTTTCTCAAAAAAGTGTTGAAC